GGACACCGTAACTAATACCCGGGTATAAATCAAAATTTGGCCTTCAAAACTGCCGCAGGGTATAGCTCACGGGGGGGGTACTCGTGTCGGTGAAATACGGTAATTCATAGCATATCATTCATAGCAATAGAGTAACATTACTGCTTGTAGAGACTTCAGTTGCCTAGATCCCCAGGTGACCTTCGTCAATAGAATAGTGCCGGGCACTCATGGGTGGAGATGTAAAACTTGGAAACAAAGTTCTCAAGATTCTGTGTCAAATCTGGTTTTGTTGCAGCATGCCCCATATAGTAGTAGAGATTCCACACATTTATAGGAGTTCATGCTTTTCTAATGTACCGTGTAGTCAGTTGAATTGTTCCATTTTATCATAAAACGACTGTACAGTACATTCTGGGATAATTATTCTTGTTGATGGCATCTGCTATTAGAATCCCAAGCATTACTCACAGACAATAAGGTATGCAAGTTCGGTGACATTTTAACTAATTTGTAGCTCTTGTTCTCAAACTTGAAACGGAAGATACCACAAGCAGTGTAACAGCGATAAACTTGTAACAGTAATAATAAAAAGTCAATATTCCTTTTGCACAGCCCCTCCATTATTTTAAGCCACATTATAACTGGTTAATTGTTAACAACAGCAATCCACACCCTTTTCCAAGGTAAACCGCCTACGATATGAACTTGCAATTTCTTCCTTGTCTGTCGCGAGATTTAGGACAATTACTTGCAAACACTGACACATCTGATGTCATCATTCGAGTTAGAAAGAATGATGTTGACGAGGACAGCAAGGAGGAATGTGTGTTTAGAGCACATTCTCAAATTATCAGGGCTAGATGCAGGAAACTTGGAGAATTGATGGATAAGGAGAAAAGTGCTAAAGATGGAATCGATGGAAAGAAGCTGAATGAAGTGGTTATCACCTTGTCCGATATGACGTCCAAGACATTCAGGGTATTGTTAGAGTGAGTATATATAATCTATGTTGCACCTATTACAAGGAAACATTTTCTAACACAAAACTTGTCTAAAGATACATATACACGGGAAAATTAGCAATAGTAAACTTTTCACCATCCGAAGTCATCTCGCTTCTCGCCACTGCCTCGGCCTATTCTCTATTCGACATAATCTCTTACATTCAAACGCAACTCATTTCACAGACAGCCGCATGGATCTCGCAAAACTCGCTTGGCCTTTACCTCCGCTTTCGTAACGATACTTCATTCGAGGTGCTGACAACACATTGCAAGCAAGTTATGCGGAAATCCCCATCGTCCGTGATGAAGAATGAAAAATTCATAATGATGGACAAGGAATCGGTTATAGAATTGGTGCAGTGTGCAGAGAGGAAAATGGAAGCTGTAGAAATATGGGAATCTGTGCTCGACTGGGGAAAAGCACAAGCTAACATTGAAGAAGCAGACTGTGATAAGTGGACGCTTGAAGAGAAAGAAAGGATTGCGGAAATATTGGAGGATGTTCTCGTTAGAGTGCGATTTTCTCAAATGTCGTCTACTGATATTCACTCCAAAGTCATGCCGTACGTTGATATTCTTCCCCGGGTTTCTAAAAATCTTCTCGACTACAAAGAAAAAAAGCCCACAACAAAGAGGGACAGTGAGGACGAGGGGGAAAAAAGGGATTCAAAGGGTATCGAGACAGGACTGCATGACGATGAGAACGATTTACGAAAAAGTGTTGGTGGCTCATACAAAGAAAAGACAAAAGGCAATCGTGTAGAAGGCATCATAGTAATGCCGGGAGCAGCAGTGGTCAGATCTGTGAATAATCCGTCTCCAGCTGCAAAAACATCTACTATGGTTACTCTGACTGGCTCAATATCGTCTCAGTTCCAGCTTTCACCTCCATCCTCGCCATCATCCACGTTTCCACTCTCGTCTTCCAAGAATAAGATATTTCCACTTATCCAAACAATCTCTACATACAATATATTTTCCACAAAACCACAACGATCACTTCGCACTCCCCCCATTTCACCCATTCGCAAACATTTCTCCTCTCCTACACCTCCGCTCAGCTCTACCCTCATCAACGACCATCATACAGGATGGGTAAGCGCATGTATTGATTATTTAAATGTCATCCAAGGAGAAGAACATACCATGTACAGTCGAGAGAACAATCCATATAAATACGAGTTACTTTTACGGGGAAGCAGAGACGGATTCACAAGCGTAGCATTTCATAAACTATGTGATAACAAAGGACCGACGGTGATGGTACTAAAAATTATGGGCACAAGAGAAATCATCGGAGGCTATTCTCCTCTAGACTGGACCTCCCCATTCCTATGGAGGTATGGTTCCACATCTGATAGTTTTCTCTTTAGTTTTGCATACGGAGAGCTGAAAAATGCCGTCCTGAGTCGGCCAAAGGATAAATCAACAGCAATAAAATGCCGCAAATCGAATGGTCCGGTATTTGGATATGGCCCCGACTTGTGCATGTGGAGCGACGAGTATGAGAAAAAGTGGTGTTGTTATCAGTGTTCGTATGAGCCAAGTATTAGGTTTGCTGATGGAGAGTTTTGGATTGATGAAATGGAAGTGTTTGCCGTTAAACAGAGAAAGTAGAATTGCGCGCGGCGTAGCATACTCCAAGTATAATATAATTTCGTAATGCGTAAATACGACTTTATTAAACGACATTGTATATTAAGGTTCTATGGCAACTCTTATAAATTAAATTCATAAATAAATAATAATCACACCGCTTGTCATTGACTGTGGCGAGTCGTGCTACACGATGACCAGGCTCTACAACGCAAATGCGTCAGAGTGTCCTACCAATTTTGAACCGGGTGTAGTGAATTTCTATATCAAATAGTTTATCTTATAAACCATGTCCATTCCGATTTGTTATAAGATGGCCAGTCTGTAACGGTTTGAACAGCAAATTACGCAATTGTTACAATCGATATAACGGATCAGCGTTTTAGTTATAGTCCTACAAGTCCATGAATAAAAATGCTAGAACTATAAGAAAGCAATACCTGTAAACGTCGTTCTTTGATCCTACAAGTGAAGATTCCTCGGATGCTTTGTTGTCCCTGACTCGCCATAGAGAAGATTGTGAGCAACAAAACTTTTATTTTTTATAATAGAATGAGACCGGTCCAAGATTTCGATAGTGGGTGTGTTTTATGGGCTTTTTACATGTTCGCTTTTCCTATACCGCCTTCTCGTCCATTCTGGAAATTCTACTACATCCATTGTTTCGAACTGTGAAATAATTAATATTGACTTGTTATCGTTGATAGATTCAACCTACACAACTCTCATCTCATTCACACTCAGAGAGAATGTTGTCTATTGATAGTTTTATCGTTCAATAAAATACATTCGCGCAACATTTGAATTAGGGAGAGATAAGTTGGCGCGCTAATGTCAACGACGAATGTATTACGGTTCTTATAAGAGAAAAATCCTTTATACATTTGTTGTTTCGCGTAAAATGTTAGTACCGTGTGGACGTTACACAAATGACGCTTCAATTATGTGATACCAACAACTGCCCGGATTCAATATGGAAGTTCAAAATAACAGCCTCAGATTTTACAAACCCGTGAAATAATGATACATTTTTTTTACGCAAATCGCTGGAGTATAAGTATAAGTATTCCAATATCTAACTGCTTTTGTATACTGAAGCGTATTTATAAGGGGTATTTTTTAGTTTAGTTCTTTAATATATTCAAAAAGATCTCTCCACTCATATCACTATGAAGTAAGTTCTGGATCATCAAATTTCAATTCTCCCTCCAACTATATAGTCACGGTATTATTTCCCGAATTTAATTTGTATACAGTATCTTGTTCATAATGAGAACTCCTGATACAAACTTGCGCAATTAGATGTGGAAACACCTGCGGACCGACAAGTGGTGAACAATAAATTTGGGGTCGATATTATTTATTCCTTTATCAGCTGATATAGTATTCTGCTCTTGACGTCTCACATTGGTCAATATTCTTTAATGTAATAATAGGTCACCAATATAAAATTAACTGGTGACAGACCTCCAACCAGTCCTTAATACTATGGTATTCTGCAAACCCAACTTGTGGGATAAATTAAAACCGAGCTCGTTCTTTGATATGCCTAATGCTAATTAATTCGTCTCTTAAAGATAGAGGAAAGAGTAGAGTTACTTAACCTAATTGATTGTAAGACTAAGATGTGGCATTGACGATGAAGCCTTTATCATATTGCTTGGTATTCGTTCATGTGTATTAACCAGTATATTCCACAAACATTATCAATAAAGTTTCGACCAACCTATCGACCAGTAATGCGTAATGCGTGTTATTTGATAGTAGATTATTAGGGTTTGCTTACAACGACCTTCCCCGTGATTTAGATTCGCGTTCTAATAACAATAATAACACCTATAATTGGGTTCGTTACTTATTATTATAATACTGCATGAGAAAATTTTCCCAAGCTGGTAAAAATTTAATAATAGAGTTCAAGTTAATATACTTTTTTATTATGTAACCTTAATTTAATTTATTTGGAATACTAGAATTTATGCATCGTCGATCAGCATAGGCGCCTAAGAGCGCTCTAGCCAAATTTGAATAACATTTGAAATTAACGAAGATCTCCAATACTGTAATACCACCAAAGACTTCGAGGGGCAGCACAGGTGACACCATGGCTATTTTTAGGCTTGATTATTTCCATAATCCGATTAGGCATTCAATTGGACCTTATAAAAACCTAAATCGCCTATTAAATGGCAATTCTCCCACGACTCCAACACACAAAACTCATTTCGAGCACTACACTCATTGCCACCATGAGACTAGAGATTTTTCCTGCAATAACATCCACCCGATCGGCAGTAGTTTCCTTGTCTTTCAAACACTTTCGACCTTGTTTGCTCGTGCAATGATATTTCAATGACAGTTTCATCATGGTCGTACAGCCTTCGCATCCTGTTAATAGCTGTGTTTCTTACTATTCTCGCTGACAAATATCGTTTGTAGACGACAATGAGTAAGATAAATTATACAAGTTTCACACGAGATGATGACCAATGGATGTCCCACATTTGTTACCTTCTTAGCGATGCATCGTGGGGGTGAACGTTTATTGGCGATTTTCCGTACATATCGTCAAACATATAGTACGAAAAATTGAAGCCCTATTTCGTCGACCCGTTTCTTCTGTCGGCAGTCGGTTCATTCATGACAGACAGTTGCTAAGAGAAAGAATAGATGCCCGGGGGAATAACAAGAGGGGACATGATATTATTAAAAAAGCAATCCCCACAAAATTGCACATACATTCTTGCATGCAACGAAATTCTCACTTGATAGGTCCGTGTATCCCCTTTGTGTACATGCAACATAAGCATTGAGCAAATATGCAAAATAGGAAAGTCCTATCGTTATCTCATCGTATTATGCAGGTGCTACATCAAATATCTTTGAAATTCTTTTTGGCCGACCACGAACTTGGAATTTATTAGATTCGTGGAGGCTCTTTTTGAGTTGCAAATATACAAGTTTCCGCAATGGATTGATTACTGGATACCAAGGAAGAATGTTTTTGATGATTAAGGGTTTTGTACAATATTATATTATGTAGCTTTTATAGAGTAACTTGACGATGAAAATGTCAACTATAGATTTATCGTAGTAAATATTCTATATGTAGAAAAGAAACTTTATAAGACTTGCCTGCTGTCCTTTTTCCCTATTAACAAACCCAAGTTTCGTCTCTTTCTTGCGAAGTTGTAATCTCTTTGTACCAACTCCTCCAATCATTCTCTCCCAAACACTCGCCAATAGTCCTAAACTCATACCCAAATCCTTTGATATACTTGATAACCCAACCGATCAATGTTTTCGACGTGCTCTCGATAGGATCGTGCTGCAATGAAATATGCGATCGCCGTTTTAACCACATCCATTTCAAGACATTGGCGTATTGTTTTTTACTAGTCTCCACTGTGCTTCCAACCGAATCTCCAGCATCGATATCCCATCCGATAACGGTATAATTATATTCACGCAACACACTCATTAGCGTTGCATTTCCGGCCCCCGCGCCATAGGGAAGACGGAAATAACGAGGAACCGCCCCGATTATTTTGCGGAGTGCTGTTTCGAGGCTGGTTAGTTCCGAGTGAATTTCAGAGCGGGTCAGCGTGTTGAGGTTTGGATGTGACCATGTGTGAAGGGCAATCTGATGACCCGCTAAATACGCGCGACGTAGCGTTTCTGCATTGTCGTATATACATGAATACGTATGTCCACACACAAAGAATGTAGACTTTGTATCTTGCAGAGCATCTAACAAATCATCCGTGTACTAAACGGACAAGGTAGAGCAGAATGCAGTTAGCATATTGAATGCCAAAAAAACTCGTACCGATTGCTGTCGTTATGCTCTACCTTGTGTGGTCCATCGTCGAATGTCAAGGCAAAACTGTTTTTTATCTTGCAAGTGTCATAGTATGGAGCTAATTCTGTCTCGCAGTTTTCACCAAAGCTGCATCTTGATATGTAGTGAATGATCGTCGATATGAATATGAATGTGACGAGAATGTGTGACGTTATTCTTCGTATTGTTAGTTTTAACATTTTAACATATCAGATGTAATTGTCCCTGGTTAACGAAACATTTAGAAGCATTAGCAGAACGTGAGTATGTATTGTATGTATTTATACAATCTAACCTTACATCCATTCTAGTTCACGTGGTTATGCCATAATAATAGGTAACCATAATAAAAGTCGCAATTTACAGAAAAAAAAAGCGCAACCGTTATTTATACCATCATTGTTAACCTTCATGGTGGTTGTACAGCTTCGCCAAGCTGTATTACAAACACAATAACGTCGATTCAGCCCAATGTGACACTGACCAAAAGAATTCGCGTAACAAACATTCGGGCCGATGTATGTGGGCTTGGTAAATGAATTGCTGTAGTATACATTGGTATGTATACAGTTGAAACGCCCAAGGCCTATTCACGCACACGTTTGATATACAATGACTTCAAAAAGTTTTTCTTTTTAATGCAGTCGAGAATTAGGATTCATAATTATCCTTTTCCTAATAAATTATATAATCGTATTAGTATTACTATCTGCATAACCCCCGAACTGCTGCCAAGTGTGTAACGTCTATATCGATCTTGCACGTATTTGTTGCAGCGCTGTGTCCATTTATTCGAGCAGTAATCGGGTTTCCAATTGTTTACTCGTAATAATAGATCAATGAATTATACAGCGGTGCAATATTTACAGTATTCATCGAGAAAGTCATGCAAGATGCTTCGTTGTCAGCAAGTTCGTTTCGTCGTATAAAAAAAGGCTGGGTGACTATCAAGAATATCGTATTGACATCAATTCATACCGATGATGTGTTAGTTAAATGCTTCTAATTTGCAGAGGCTCTTTCTACATTGCACTTTCAAAAAAAGTTTCTTGTCAAGTATATCTATTGTTTACCAAGTGGATGGCGCCATAACCTGAGATTAATTAAAAATCATAACCCGATCATCGCTTACGTATGACGTATTATGACAAAGGTTTGTCACTTGTTTGAAGTTTTGTCGACCAATTAAAGTCGATATTGATCATGTACACTCAATAAATGATCATAGTTAATTAATAATAAACAAAGCTTATCAAAGTATCTGACTCTCAATGTATGAGAACGCGCAGCACACTGGTCATAGAAGTCGTAGTCGCTTACGTAATTATAAATACCGTAGTTGCTGCGTGCCGGAGGTTAACGTAATTAATTGATGTGTCCTATACAATTTTGCCAAGAATCAAGTTTTTTATTTCAAACACTTTTGTTGGGTATACCAAATACCCTAGAATCATTATGCTTCTGGAGTTGCTTTTGAGACTATTGTCTCCGTTTCTGAATTAAGCGCGTGTGACTAATATTCAACTCCCTATAGTAGAAAGGTATGTTTGAGATTGCACAAATCAAAATACTCGATAACGTAAACGATGACCGTGAAATGTAATCAGACTCCAAAGAAAGCTTACGTCCATATTAATATCATTACGATAAAATTAAAACGGAGCCACTGTCGCACTGTGTTGCACCGTAAGTCTTACGCTTGCAAATAGATTCTTTTGGTTGTATTACAGTATGTGTTGGTTGCCATCTTTTAAGATAGGCAGTTCGATAGAAATGTAGTATTGGGACTGCAACCGTCGATGTTTGATTCGGCACCAGAGGCGAACTGAAATTTATATTAACAAAAAGTTGCCAGACTATTCCCAAATAACAGGTATGAATACAAAGTAATAGCATATATTACTATCTCTATGTAACAAAAGTTTATCTCTATTTCCGTCCTTCAATGTTATATCCCTACTCGCATTATTAAGATTGTTGATTAAAACAGGTTGTTATGGATCACAAATCGTATACAAGCAATTTATTAAAAATCAAATCTAACTGAATTTAGACTCAATGTTCACTAACCATCAAGGTACTTATTTCAACGTGATCAGAAATAATTGATTAGGGACATGTGGCAAACGAATCTTTTTGGAACCCAAAAATCCACATCTGCTTTAGTCGATAAAGACGTAAACTTTAAAACGCATTATTGGAATTCCTAGTTGAAAAAATTAATGTTGGTGGCAAAACAGAAGGCCGGAACTGCCACAAGGAAATCGCTGAAATATACATAAAATCAACCATAATATAGTTAATGTCAGACTGCATAAGTGTCCGTAAATGTCTATTCGATTTGCAAGTGTCACGTCAACAGAACGAATAGATCAAGCCCATAGCAGAGTATGTAGACTGAAAAGGCATCTATATCTCCTTACTCCTGACAAAGGCGTAACAATAAATAAGTTTGGCTAAAGTAATTTGAAAATTAAGATGAAAAAAATGGCATAACATTGATTTAAACCTAATCTTATTGCATAAGAGAATTATTATAATCCAAACTTTTAGAAAATCGATAATGTGGATCAAGATCAACGGGATTAAAAGCTATTTGTAACCGGAACAATAATTCTAAATCAAGAAAGATATTACTAGAGTAGCTATATCCGTTTTGTGAGTATGACCAATTTATTACCAATTGATACATAAAAAGCGTTTAAACAAATCAGAAGCCCACTCGTAAAATAATTTTGTAGATCAAATTTCGATCTGAAAAGTACGGATTTTGTTGAGGCGGCAAAATTGTATAATATTCGTGGTATAATGGGAGATCGAGCTACTTAATTCTGAAAGAATAAAACCTATAACGATTTTAGCGAATGTAAAGATAATGCTTATGCGATGTATTCTCTGATTTCTGACAATGGTGATATTCGTACTAGTCCGATAGATTTATGGTTGACGCTAACATCCATTTATGTAACAGTCGTGGGTACAGCGTTGGTTGCATTTTTGAATTCCAACCAAGTTTGGATAATGATTACTTGACATCTCTTATTACTATCAATGTCACGGAATCAAATCCAGAATTCAAAAGATGTATGATCGTGGCCTAATGTGTGACGACCGCATATGTCTGTCTTGATATATTGTATGAACCAATGGGAAAAGAGCGTTCGTTCCAAGGGACATCGAAGAATTTCTTATACCCCATCCCCAATTTGTTAAGTTTCTGGTAGATTGTTTCTATATCAAGAACATGTCACGTGAAAATAAACATTACGAACAAACAAACTAAACTATTATAAGCAATAAGCTACTCGCATATATCACACACTGTACAACATTTGCCCCCACTCAATTTGTACTACGTCAAATTGAATGTGTCTTTAATGCTGACAGTTTCACTTTCCATGCTCCTTTATTCCAACGCCAAACTCGTACCATGGGGCACTTTCCACCACCAGAAATAGCGCCCTTTGCCTACCAAACGAATGAAAACTTAATAGACCATAGAAGACTTACACCTAATGCGAGCAGTAGCACTCATGACCCACATCGTCAGAATAAAACGGGTGGCTGGCATCGAAGAACGAAAAGTTCGGATAGCGATCCTATGCAAGCTATGCAGGACAATGGCAAAGACGCGCAGAACTTGGTGCCTTCAATGCATAAAGAGAAAAAAGGGCAGGGTTTTTTGGGACGATGGACCAGGAAGAGGTCAAAAGATAAAGAAGCTACACCCGAAGGTAAGCATTGGGAAGGAAAGAATGTGTTGAGGCAATGGTTGTTAGAGCTTGCTTGTTTGGATTTATACACCAATACGATTGATTTGCCTTTTCGTTGAGCGTTAAGGATGTCAATGTGATAGCTGAATGAATGCGCATGAGAGATGTAGGTTTATCATACGAAATCGACGCATATAACGACTACCCCAGTCAATAACAACCTTCCCCCAATGATCCCTCCCTTCACCTATCCACTTAATCTCCCTATCTCCCTATCTCTCTTTCTCTCCCTCTCCCTCTCTCCATCTTATCTATCCAACTTATTTCCATCTTATTCATTGCAACAGTCCGTAAAAGTTCAGAGTCAGAGCACTCATATATTTCAGCAACAAACACGCCGGTGATAGAAAGAGAAGATCCAGTTGCTGGATACAACAGCAATCGATCAGTCTCGGCAAATACTCATTGGGTAAAGGTAACTATTAAAAGAAAGGAATCTTATAAGGAGCAGGTACGAGAGTAAGACTTGTTAGTGGATAGAGAATGAAAATAAGAGATATGTACCGTGAAGAAGAGGTTGAAAATTTAAAAAAGGTGGCAAAAAAGGGGCAGCTAGAGAGAACGGAGACAAAATGAAGCGAGAATCAGAAGATGGAGAAAGAGAGGGGGCAATTGTGACTTTATCCACTAAGTATCCGCTGAAATTCGGTTTTATACTTGTTAAGATTCGATATTAATTCGAATGTCTATTTAATCCAACAGGAGGATTCCTTTTATGATGTAAATTGTAAAGTGATCGTTCAAATAAAAATTACTGTTTTGTAATGATCATACTTTCAATACCATTCAATACTAATAATAGTCTTTCTCGTCTCTCTCTTTTTTTCCCCCACTAAATTTCCCATAAAGCGATAAACTTGAATCTCGATTCTATGGAGGGAATAATAGATCCGGAACGAAGTCAAACAATACGCCAGATTTGTGTCGATGATGATGTGCCCTCGTTAGATGGTTGGCGAGAGTTACCACCGCCCGGTGGAGCCGAAGGATGGTCACCGCCGGAATCATGGGCAGTACGGAAACCTTCTGTTGAGACCGTGACGCTCTTTGATGATGAAGATATTCGGGAGGCTGATATTGATAATTGGTATTATGGGAAAAGATTGGTATGTTGAGCACTTGTGTGAGCAAGTCTTTTGAAGTTTAACGTTATAATACTTCTGAACTAATAAATTGATCATACCAATCCTCCTAGTTCTGTATACGTATATTTCGACCAGATGCCACTTTCGGAACCGTTAGCTGTGGTTTGAATACAACAACTTCAGAGTTGTGTCATATGTTGGGGAAGAAATTTTTTATCACGGATATAACGAAATATAATTTATATGTAAAGAGACATGATCTGGGTGAGTAGTATTGTCCAGCGAATGAATTCGTGTATATTTAAGTCTTCAACGTAATATCGAATGATTTTTATTCAAAGG